TTCTTGTAGTATGTCAGCAGTCTCCGGTCATCTCCTGTATTATGTTTGCAGTCTATGGTCATCTCCTGTAGTATGTCAGCAGTCTCTGGTCATCTCCTGTAGTATGTTTGCAGTCTATGGTCATCTCCTGTAGTATGTCCGCAGTCTCTGGTCATTTCCTGTAGTATGTTAGCAGTCTCCGGTCATCTCCTGTAGTATGTTTGCAGTCTATGGTCATCTCCTGTAGTATGTTTGCACTCTATGGTCATCTCCTGTAGTATGTCAGCAGTCTCCGGTCCTCTCCTGTAGTATATCAGCAGTTTCCGGTCATCTCCTGTAGTATGTTTGCAGTCTATGGTAATCTCCTGTACTATGTCTGTAGTCCATTGGTTCAGAATATTTTTTTTTCTGTTTTCCACCTCTAAAATCTAACTGCATCTTATGGTCAGGTGCGTCTTATGAAGCGAAAAATATGGGATATATATTTGTTCAGCAGCAGGTGTGTGTGACCCCCTGGGTGAGTTCACAACACACAACAGGCACAGCAGAACAGCAGTTTTATTTACACTATTTACATAGGAAAAAACATCAAAACAAAAAGAAACATGAAAAATAAATTCATGCCAACTTGGCCACTTACTATACAAAAAGCTTCAACTAGGTGCAGCCTTGTGCTACACCCAGTCCCTATCTCCCTGTTAATTTGAGGCTAGCCAACATTGTCTCACCGCACAGACAGGTATAATGCTCCCCAGTCTACTCAGGCACAGAACTGGTTCCAGGATGGAGCAACTCCCTAAGCAGGCTGGGAAGTTTTATAGAGGCCCTAATTAGCCCACTACCTTCAGCTGGGCTCATTACCTCACTGCTGAAGGCTCAGCACTCCCCCCTAGTGGAACAAATCCACATAGAGCCTGAATCTCAAATGTATCTGCCATCCTGAATGCAACCAGGTGATTTTACCTGCCTACTGTCACAATATATATATATGCTCAAAACAACTCGTTCTGTGAAAATATCCCTTCATCAACAACATGTTTCTGTGACTTTCACCAACACATATGGTATTATGCTCATCCTAATACTGTATATGGACCTCTTGGAGTAATAGTATCCTCTAATTTGCAGCATCTCCACATCCAGCTACCACCACTTAAATCCTCAATAAGTAAGTAAAGAGAACAATATAGTGCTCACTGTTTCCAAGTATTTTACTTATAGCAAAAAGATTAAAAATGTCCACATTAAAATAAAAAAAAATCAATAACTTTCAAATGAAGAACAATTCTGCCTGTCATCATCCTCCTCCACACTCATCTGTCTACCATACCTCTCCTCTCAGCTGTGTGCACTGACAAGTCAGCTCCCGAGCTATATGATGATGTTACCAGGGGATGCTCCACCTTATGTGGCATGTCTGTAGATTGTAGATTGCAATCTTGGTTCACCAGCACATTGTGAGCCCCTGAAGTCAGGCCTACTCAGTGCATCATTAACTTTCACCTTCTGGCCTATTGCTAGTACTCATCCATCCTCTGCAGGTGTTCTGCAGTCTGTTGGTGTTCTGTCCAGTTTCTTCCCACTGCCATTTAATCTTTGCATGCATCCCTTGTCACTACAGCTTGCTGCGAGTGTCTGCAGTGGGTTAGTGGGCTCGCCATCTCATTCTGCAGATAGAGGGTGGATTGTTTGCTGGACTTCATTGCAACATGGTATTTTGTAGAAATATTATTCCACACATTACTTTAGTTTTACAATGCAAGAATATAGTATGTAGGTCTTGCATTTACTTGACACCAGATGGACTTAACAGAAAGGATATCCAGGATATTTAGGGTCCTTTCACACAGGCAGACCAATTGGGTCCACCAGTCTTTCAGGCAGGCCTGATTGGACTATCCATTGCCCCATATGGAGCTGTGGATGTAAACGGACAGGTGGTCCATTTACATCCATCCTCTCATAGAGTACATTGGGCTGTTTCTGTGTCTGCTCTGCATTAGTGCAGAAGACACTGACCTGTCATCTGCCTACTCAGCGGGGTTAAGTGGACAGATCTCTTGCTAAGCAGGCAGATCCACTGGCAATGTCTGCCCGTGTGGAAGAGGCCTTAACAAGAACAGTGCAACATCCATGCCACACCCTTTTTTCAACACACCCACAAGCAAGCAGTTTTTGGGTGAGTCTCTAAGTTAGACTGAAACTAGTGAGGTAGATTCAAATTAGTGTTGTAATATCTGTAGCAATTGTACGTACAGAGATGGATGCGAACCTCCATTTTACCAAAGGCCTCCATCTTGTACCATTTCTACTCCCAAATCAGCTTGCCTCCAATCCCCCCCTCCCTCTCTGTTGAGTGACATGTGGTCTGTATGATGCCAGAGATCACAGCATCAGGCACAGTGGGAGGTCTCATGGTTATAAACCCCAATTAGCCTGGCCCCATATGTCTGTAAGACTCTTGCTTGGAAAAGGATCGTAAAGCCATAAACCAGTCCTTTACTGGGCTTCAAAGACATTCCAGCTAGCTTTAAAACAGACTCACTTTTAAAAACCCATTTTTCCATATGATTTTATATCTTGAAATAAGAAATAATTACATAAACATGGAGCACATATTTGGATGGCTCAGTTTAATACAAGTTGTCTGATATCTTACATCCCCTAGTTGAAATCTACAGGAGAGCAGAAAACGATATCTCCTTTACAGTCCCAAGCAGGTATGTCATATTTAATATCTAGACGTTCAGCAGATGATTCTGCTTATTAATCTACTAGTGGCTAGGCTGCTACATGCACCTAGGGTAGGTTATTGATCATGATATAAACTGCGAGGGATTTTGGTTCTAGTTTGGGTCTCCGCCTAAACATCCCTCCCCAGATGAGGCGATTGGTTCTCTGTTGTAAGGAGACACCCTGCTGAGCGCCTAGAAAAAGGCTGTTATGCTTGGTTGAGTGGAAGTTGAAGAAATCTCCCTTTTAACATCGGAACCAACTTGGGAGATAACACCACTTTTGCTCTGAAACTTGATCTGCTTAACCCAGGACTTTTGGCAAGTACTCTATCTCTCTAAAACTTCTTTTTGTTATCTCTTTGCTATGTAATTTCTCTCTGTATTTATATATATATATATATATATATATATATATATATATATATATATATATATATATATATATATATATTGGCTATGTCTTTTCTGTAAATATTTTTATTGCACCCTTTTGACCTTTTTAGTAATAAATCCTATTATCCGAAAAGTGTTGAACTGTTTCTAAAGCTCTTTAATGCAAACTAAGAATCCCTGGCTCTGAAGAGCGCTACTGTGTGTTTTAAAACCTCTATATATCTCTGCCTGTGGTGAGAGTGGTATACAGACGATTATTCAAACATCATAGTGTTATTGCTAATATAGCCAAGTTTCCTCATTCTCTATACAAAAAGGAGGTGGTGGCAGTGTGAAGGGTTAATTGCGTAATTAACCTGACCCAGTAACAATCACTCTCAGGCTGCAGGTACACAGATTGTGGTCCATTAGCAGGAAAATCTCTGTGCAGGGTGCAGCTGAGCGTGGTATTGTTACGCACATGACAGCGTGGTTTTAGATTGGCTAGTCCTTCGGTCACGAGTTGGTGAGAAGGGATGGGGGTCTGACGCCGCGATTGTCACAATATCTTTTTCTAATATTTATATAAAATCTTTGCTGTTAAGATTGAGTGCTTTCTAAAGAAAAAGCTTTAAAGAAAGTGTTTGGATTTAGACTCTCTCTGTCATTTTCTCTAACTGAAACTCTGTAAGATGTGACAAACAGAGCAGGCAAGAAGAGAAAAATGCAATTACCGTAATTTTTGCTCCATAAGAAGCACGTTTTTTCCCCCCAAAGAAGGGGGGAACATGTCAGTGCGTCTTATGGAGCAGACAGTCCGGTGTTTCCGCCACCGCCACCGTGTCAGAATACTGGGCCAGCCGCTCAGCTCTTCTCTGCAGCAGGACCTTACCTGTTCCTCGGTCCAGCGCTGCGCAGTCTTCCTAGACCTGCATCTTTAGTGTGGGCACCCAGCTGTGACAGCCGGGTGCCCACTGCGCATGCGCGAGAAGCGCTGTGCTTTGTGAATGGTCTGGTGTCTTCTGGGACACATGACAGGTCCCAGAAGAAGCCAGGCCATTCACAAAGCGCAGCGCTTCTCACAAATGCTCAGTGGTGCCCACACTAAAGGGAGGACAACTCCACGGAAGTGGGTACCTGTCAAATTCAGGCACCCGCTCCCCCTTCCTCCCCAAAGGTCCGCAGTCTCTTGGCCATCCCCTGTACTGTCTGCAGTCTCTGGTCATCCCCTGTACTGTCTGCAGTCTCTTGGTCATCCACTGTACTGTGTCTGCAGTCTCTGGTCATCTACTGAACTATGTCCGCAGTCTCTGGTCATCTCCTGTACTATGTCCGCAGTCTCTGGTCATCTCCTGTAGTATGTCTGCAGTCCAAATGACAGGTTCCAGAAGACGCCGGGCCATTCACAAAGCGCAGAGCTTCTCGCGCATGCGCAGTGGTGCCCGCACTAAAGGGAGGACAACTCCGCGGAAATGGGAGTGGGTACCTGTCAAATTCAGGTACCAGCTCCCCCTCCCTCCCCAAAGGTCTCTTGGTCATCCCCTGTATTGTCTGCAGTCTCTGGTCATATGTACAGTGTCCGCAGTCCCTGGTCATCCCTTGTACTATGTCCGCAGTCTCTGGTCATCTCCTGTACTATGCCCACAGTCTCTGGTAAGCCCCTGTACTGTCTGCAGTCTCTGGTCATCTCCTGTACTGTGTCTGCAGTCTCTGATTATCTCCTGAACTATGTCCGCAGTCTCTGATCATCTCCTGTACTATGTCCGCAGTCTCTGGTCATCTCCTGTAGTATGTCTGCAGTCTCCGGTCATCTCCTGAACTATGTCCACAGTCTCTGGTCATCTCCTGTACCATATCCGCAGTCTCTGGTCATCTGTTCTATGTCCACAGTCTTTGGTCATCTCCTGTACTGTGTCCGCAGTCTTTGGTCATCTCCTGTACTGTGTCCGCAGTCTCTGGCCATCTCCTGTACTGTGTCTGCAGTTTCTGATCATCTCCTGAACTATTTCCGCAGTCTCTGGTCATCTCCTGTAGTATGTCCGCAGACTCTGGTCATCTCCTGTACTATGTCTGCAGTCTCTGGTCATCTCCTGTACTATGTCTGCAGTCTCTGGTCATCTCCTGTAGTATGTCCGCAGTCTCTGGTCATCTCCTGTACTATGTCCGCAGCCTCTGGTCATCTCCTGTAGTATGTCCACAGCCTCTGGTCATCTCCTGTACTATGTCCGCAGTCTCTGGCCATCTCCTGTACTGTGTCTGCAGTCTCTGATTATCTCCTGAACTATGTCCGCAGTCTCTGATCATCTCCTGTACTATGTCCGCAGTCTCTGGTCATCTCCTGTAGTATGTCCGCAGTCTCCGGTCATCTCCTGAACTATGTCCACAGTCTCTGGTCATCTTCTGTACCATATCCACAGTCTCTGGTCATCTGTACTATGTCCGCAGTCTCTGGTCATCTCCTGTACTGTGTCCGCAGTCTTTGGTCATCTCCTGTACTGTGTCCGCAGTCTCTGGCCATCTCCTGTACTGTGTCCGCAGTCTCTGGTCATCACCTGTACTATGTCCGCAGTCTCTGGTCATCTCCTGTAGTATGTGCGCAGTCTCTGGTCATCTCCTGTAGTATGTCTGCAGTCACTGGTCATCTCCTGTACTATGTCCGCAGTCTCTGGTCATCTCCTGTAGTATGTGCGCAGTCTCTGGTCATCTCCTGTAGTATGTCTGCAGTCACTGGTCATCTCCTGTACTATGTCCGCAGTCTCTGGTCATCTCCTATACTATGTCCGCAGTCTTTGGTCATCTCCTGTACTATGTCCGCAGTCTCTGGTCATCTCCTGTACTATCTGCAGTCCATTGGTTCAGAATATTTTTTTTATTGTTTTTCTCCTCTAAAACCCAGGTGTGTCTCATGGTCAGGTGCATCTTATGGAGTGAAAAATACTGTAATTATGTTTTGTATGTAAAGTTCAGCATGTTTAAAAAACAATTTAAACATGTAAAAAATTAGTCTAAATCTTCACTTTCTGTTAAAATTTGTGTGCATTGGTTTATCTTTACCTGATTAGAAAAAGTAACTATACTATATATATATATATATATATATATATATATATATATATATATGTAGTCTTGACTATAATTAATGAATATAAGGTCTGAAAACCTACCGCACATCCCTTTTTAATAAAAGTATGGCCCAGTTGGCACCTCGTTGCCTAGCCTTTTCGGCTTGATAGCCAACATCTCTGGCATACTCTGAAGCCTGTGATGTTTCCACAGAACAAAATAACAATGGCTGTACCAAAAGCTATCTTACTGCATGTGTCTAGGATGCCTGTGATTCTAGATGACTGGGTCTCACACCTGTACAATGTTTCAGCATACTCAAGGGTGTTGGGTTGTTAATAAATTAACTTACATTTTAAAGTCAATGGGTTGAACCTGTCGCATTTTTGATGAAAGTCAAGTAGTGTTTTGTCATTTGTACCTGCACTGTAAACTGGGTAATGGATATACATTCTGTAAACAAGTATCAAAAGGCACGAATATGAAAAGAAAGAAAAACATAATTGCGAGATCCAAAATGGGATTTCCACTTTAAAATTCAAAACAAAGCTTAGCTGCTCTCTTTATCAGCTAAGAAGGGAAAATATGGTAATGAAAGAGAAAAGATTACATAGATCATTTGGACCCTCCCCCAAACTCTCATAGATCTCCATGCTCACCACTGACTACTTGGAAACAAACCACAAATTATATGTAGAAATATTCCCTCTTTAAACTCATCCTTTTATATGTATCAATAACAATGTGCTATTTAGTTTTCCTCAAATCTTCACATACATTTTTGTACACAACAAAATTGCATTTTTGACTTTTTCACCTTTGTTATTTATTTGGTGCTCTTCAATCTCAAATCCATATTGAAAACTCACAAACTTTTAATCTTATTTGTGTTGTCTCTATGACAACTCATAGTATTACATAGTCATTTCTTTTTCCTTTGATTTTTGACATTATCTCTGCTGTATTAAACATTGCCTCTACTAGTAGGGCAATTTATATAGGAATGTCTGATGAAGGAGCTCATGCTGACTGATAAGTGACTAGATGAGCAGTAGTCTCGGGTCAGTGTGTGTATCTGCCTCAGATTAAGAATTACAAATTGTTATCCTTGAAGAGGTACATCAATATCTTGGAGCTCTTGATGTGATGCACTTTCAGAAGTCTTAAATAAAATGGCAAAAATAGAAAGAAACAAGAAATTCATGAGTGACACAAAAAGATAAGAAGAAGATTCTTATACGTTAAACTATTCCCTTTAGGAGCTAACATATATAATAAACTCCAGGGTGCCAGAGCATTAAAGGATTCAGGTTGCAAAGAGAAGGCATGAAATCTAATTCAGTCACTGCTTAGAATGTAAAGGAAGAAACCGCTGTTAATATAAAACATATTCAGTTAAAAAATAAATGGTGATTTGCAATAGACAACAACCTATAGCAACCAATTCAACAACATCCTCACTGAGTGATAACATGGTAGTAATCTGAAATCTGACTGGTTGCTTGTACTATTTAGCACACCATCATTATTTTTAAACCATTTCATTAAATAAATGATATGAATGTATGCTTTCTATAACTAGATACAGTAGATTAAAAAAAATTTTTTTTTGCTTGTAATATTACTAATATAAGATTCAGTGATGTCAGTGAAACTGTTATGTAGGTGTTTTGGGGTATAATGCCACAACATTAGAAGCTTCCACCAAACATCCACCCACATTTCTAATGGTGGGCATACATGTGGGCTGAATGAAAAAAAGAACAGATTCCTCAATTCACATCAATTAATGTGGATGAAGAAATCTCTGCCAGAATAAAAGTGAAAAAAGTATATGCCGGAGCTACTGCCGGGTGACTACTACCCCATGCTCTTAATCCAGGGCATACACTTTCTTTTTTTTTTTTAACTACGGATGGAGAAATCTCCCCCTGCAGTGCTGGAGGCACTTATATACGTATTCTGGGATCACTGCTGCAGTTGGCTGGCTTTGTTGAAACAACAGTTAACAATAACACATAGACAAATATAACATTACCTCAATAAAACAGCAATTTGTTTTCACTTTTTTAAATTTTTCCTGCGCAGAGTTGTGTGGACCCCAATGCTGTGCCATGCTGTGGTAGTAATAGAAGTAGAGCTATTTTTTCAGGTAAATATAAAATATTGCATATTGATATTTTTATATTTTCCTTCTGAGCCAGTAGTTCTTGTTTGTTTCACTTTAGGAATGAGCCAAACTGCTCTGGGTTTGGTTCCAGCAGGGTCCAATGAAGTGCATGGAAGTTTGGATGCTGAACCTGAAGCACACTAAAATTACTAGGAGCTTAATCTGTCAAATTTAAAATGCCCATTTTCTAAGCTAATTGGCAAGGAGATGACAAAAAATAGGATGGTGGGGGTAGGGGAAGGGGGTGTTTATTGCCCTGGCACTGCCCAAATAATGAAATTAGTCAGGAACAATGATTTTTAAATGCTTATAATGATACATTAAAAATGACCAATTTCTTTAACAGCTTCCCACCCAGCTACTGCACATACATAAATGGCAGGCTAGGACAAGTGCCGATCTTGGAGGATGTGCCCGTATGTCCTTCAACTCCTTAGGGCCATGCAGCAGTGCAATACTGTGATGACTGTGTCCCTTGGACACAGAGGATCAGAGGTCGGAGATACGGTCTCTGATTGGTCCTCCTTGTCATGCGAGGACTGTGTCTATTTACAGCCATCACACAATGTAAACAGAGACAGGTGTCTCTGTATCAGCTCTCTTTCTCCTCACACAGAGAGTGCAAGTGAGGAGAGGGAGAGCTAATCTGTGCAACCTGTCAAGGATCTGGGTGTAACTGCTGATTTTATTGTGCTGTTACACACAGATCCCACACAGTTCATCCATTTGTCACGGGTGCACCAATCACCATCTGTCACAGTGTCCCAGTGCACATAAACATCTGTACCAGTGTCCCACCAACATCTGTTACAGTGTACCAGTGCAAAAAAACAACTTTCACAGTATACCAGTGTCCCTGTCATCGTGTACCTGTGCACAAAAAAACTGTCTCAGTGTATCAGTGCACAACAACATCTGCAATAGTGTCCCATTGCAACAGCAACATCTCTGTGTTCCAATGCAACATCAATACCTGCCAGTGCTGTCCATCCTGGTAAAGTGGCAAATGCCAGCAATGCACTACACTCAGAAGATAGGCCAGGTACTAGTAGTGGGGTGTCATGTCCACCACAAATAATAAGTGCCTATACAACATGTTACGATGCTCAGGAGGAGTAGCAGAATGCGTTTTGAGGTGTAATTCTAAGTATGCATAAGATGAGTGTTAGAAATATCTTAAAAACTGATAACTGGTAAAAAAAATACATTTTTATTTTCTTTCCACATTTTCCAAATACAAGTGGCAAAAAAAAGACATTTTCAAAAGACACATTATGCCCCACAAAAAATTTTGTGAGTGTTTCCAATGTATGGGTGCTCCAGGGCAACACAAATGTGATAGATAGCCAGGAAATTGGATCTGTAATTTATGCCCCTAGAATACCTGAAAGTGCTCCATGGATATTGGGCATCTTTTTGGAGCTGTGCTGTGAAAAAGTCACACATGTTGTATCGCAATACTCATGTATTTTGGAGTGTATTTCTTACTACAGTATGTCCATGCTGTGTGTTAGAAATATCTTAAATATCGAAAACTTTGTTTAAAAAAAATGTTTTAATTCTCTTTCCACATTTACCAAATCTTGTGGCAAAAAATGACATGTTCACAAGACTCATTATGCCTCATAGAAAATACAATAGGGTGTTTTCTTTCCAAAATTTGGTCATTTGTGGGTGTTTCCATTGTCCTGGTGCTGCAGGGCCTTCAAATATATGATAGGTAGTCAGGAAAATGGATGTGTAAATTTGAGCTCTTTGAAACCCAAAGGTTTTTCTTGGATTTTGGGTCCCTCTATGTGGCTAGGCTTTGAAAAAAAAATCTCACATGTAATATCCCCTTACTTGGGAGGAGAAGTAGATTGTTTTGGGGGTGTCAGCCTGCCCATTTTCTTGTGCCAGCCTGTCCTGTGTCCTTGGTTACATCCCCAGTGTAATAACAATAAACAGGGAGGCCACCCCCTGTCCCAGCATCACCAGTGCTCACAGTAAGACTTCCAGACACCATACCAACCTCCTGATCACTGCCATACCAGCACCAGATCACCACTATGTGCAATACCAGAGCCCTGATCACTGCCATTTTCCATACCAGCGTCCTGATCTCTGCCATACACCATACCAGCATCCTGATCAGCGCCATACCATATACCATCTTGCTGATCACAGCTATATGTCATATCAGTGTCCTGATCAGTGCCATACCCCATACCAGCATCCTGATCACTGCCATACACTATACCAGAATCCCCATCACTCTCATACCCTATACCAGTGTCCTGACCACTGTCCTACCCCATTTCATTGTCCTGCTCACTGCCATACTCCATACCAACATCCTGATCAGTGCCATACAACATACCAATGTCCTGATCACTGCCATACCACATACCAGCATCCTGGTCACTGCCACACCCTATACCAGGGTCATAAGCACCATACCAATGTCCTTATCATCACCATACCAGTGTCCTTATCTCTGCCATATCTGTAACAGTGTTAAGAGAGCCAATGTCCCCAATTGTTTCCATTGTCCTGGTTCTGCAGGACCTCAAAAATGTGACAGATAATCAGAAAATTAGAGGTGTAATTTATGCCCCTAGTATACCTTAAGGTGCCTCTTGTCAGGTATCTGTGTTTGGCTAGGCTGTGAAAAAGTCTCACACAAGTGTTATCCCCTTATTCTGGAGGAGTAGCAGAATGTGTTTATCTTGTAATTCTAAGTATGCCCATGCTGTGCATGATAAATATCTTATTAATTGACAACTTTATGAAAAAACAAAATACATTTAATTTTCTTTCCACATTTTTCAAAAACTTGTGGCAAAAAAATTAAGTCTTTAAAATAGGTACTAAAGAAATTAGATGTGTAACATATGTCTCTAGTAAGCTTGAATGTGCTTCTTGGATTTTGGACCCCCCATTTGGCTGTGAAAGTCTCACACATGTGGTCTCGCCACACTCAGGAGCAGTAGCAGAATGTGTTTTTGGGGTGCATTTCTAAGTATGTTTATGCTGTTTCTTAGAAATCAATGACTTTGTTTTAAAAAAAATCATAATTTTCTTTCCTACGTTTTCCAAAAACTTGTAGCAAAAAAATTACATTTTCAAAAGGCTCATTATGCCTTTAAGAAAATACCTTGTAGTATTTGCTTTTCAAAATGGGGTCATTTTGTGGCTGTTTCCACTGTCCTGTTGCTCCACGGCCTCCACAAATGTAATCGGTAGTCAGGAAATTAGATATGTAATTTATGTCCCTAGAATACCTTAAAGTGCTTCTTGAATGTCAGATCACTCTGTGTGTCTAGACTGTGAAAAAGTCTCGCACGTGTTATACCCTTACTCGGAAGGAGTAGCAAAATGTGTTTTAGGTTGAAATTTTAAGTATGCCCATTCTGTGCATGAGAAATATCTTATTAATTGACAACTTTATGTAAAAAAATAAATTTAATTTTCTTTCCACATTTTTCAAAAACTTGTGGCAAAAAATGAAATCTTCAAAATAGGTTCTAAATAAATTAGATGCATAATCTATGGCTCTAGTAAGTCTGAATGTGCTCCTTGGATATTGGAAACCCCCCCCCCCCCCCCGTTTGGCTAGGCAGTGAAATTCTCACACATATGGTATCGCCACACTCAGGAGCAGTAGCAGAATGTGTTTTTGGGGTGCATTTCTAAGTATGTTTATGCTGTTTCTTAGAAATTGCTGACTTTGTTTAAAAAAAAATCATTTTCTTTCCTAAGTTTTCCAAAAAAAATTACATTTTCAAAAGGCTCATTATACCTTTAATCAAATATATTGTAGTATTTGCTTTTCAAAATGGGGTCATTTTGTGGCTGTTTCCACTGTCCTGTTGCTCCACGGCCTCCAAAAATGTAATTGGTAGTCAGGAAATTAGATATGTAGTTTATGTACCTAGAATACCTTAAAGTGCTTCTTGAATGTCAGATCACTCTGTTTGTCTAGACTGTGTTATACCCTTACTCGGAAGGAGTAGCAGAATGTGTTTTAGGTTGCAATTCTAAGTATGCCCATGCTGTATGTGAGAAATATCTTATTAATTGTAAACTTTGTGTAAAAAAAAAAAAAAAAAAACATTAATTTTCTTTCCGGATTTTCCAAAATCTTGTGGCAAAAAAATTGTCTTTCACAATAGGTAGTAAAGAAATTAAATGCAACTGAATGCCTCTAGTAAGCCTGAAGGTGCTCCTTGGATTTTGGGCCCCCCTGTGTGGCTAGGATGTGAAAAAGTCTGTATGATACAAAAAGTCTGTATGAAAAAGTCATGTATGATATCGCCACACTCAGAAGAAGTAGCAGAATGTGGTTTAGGGTGCATTTCTAAGTATGTCTATGCTGTTTCTTAGAAATTGATGACTTTGTATAAAAAAATACATCATCATTTTCTTTCCTAAGTTTTCCAACAACTTGTGGCAAAAACAAAATTACATGCCTTTAAAAAAATAGCTTGTAGTGCTTGCTTTTCAAAATGGGGTCATCTTGGGGCGGTTTCCACTGTCCTGTTGCTCCAGGGCCTCCAAAAATGTGATAGGTAGTCAGGAAATTTGATGAAAATATGTGTTGGGGTGTAATTGCAAGTATGCTGATGCTGTGTTGTGAGAAATAGCTTGACAACTTTGTGAGAAAAATGTACTTAATTTCTTCATTTTCCAAAAAACTGTGATCAAAATTACCACTTTTAAGAACTAACCCTGCCTCTTACTAAATACATTGGACTATCTGCTTTCCACAAAGGGGTCATTTTGGATGGATATTTGTACTATCCAGGCATTTTAGGGTCTCAAGAAATGAGATAGTCAGTTCACCAGGACTGGTCAATTTTTAAATACTGTACTGTATATATTCCATAGTTTGTAGACTATAACTTTCACACAGACTAAATAATATACACTGATCCTGTTTTGTTTTTGGTTTTTTTTTACCAAACAATATGTAGCAGAATACATTTTGGCCTACTTTCCTGAAGAAAGATAATTTATTTGCAAAATGTAATAGCAAAAACTGAAAAAAAAATTATTTTTGAAGATTTTCAGCATTTTTCATTTATATAGCAAACAATAAAAAAAAAACCAAACAAACAAGTGGTGATTAACAACTTCAATACTGGGCACTTTTACCTCCCCCCTGCCCAGGCCAGTTTTCAGCTTCATCCTGTCTACTTTATTTTACTCAATATTTTTAGCTAACAATTAGAAAGATTATGTTGCTTATACATGTGGTAGACATGTTTTTAAGATTAGCATACACATCTATGAATTATGTATGGTTATTTTATAAATATATACTGTACATTGAGTACAATGAAGGTTTTCTAGGGCTTAATGATTTTTTTTCACCTACAACTTTGAAAACTAAGGTCTTGCTGTGGTACTTACAGAAAATATATCTAAAACAAATTGTCGGATATGCAGCAGAGAAGGATAAATAAACTACTATCCCACTTATTGTTAGGTTCAATAAAGAAAATTCAGAAGACTCACAATAAAAGTCACAATTTTCCTAAAGTCAAAATTCCACCGAGAATATATTTCACATTGTTCTGTGCATCAAACAAGTAAGTTCCTGCTGCTCCTACTAACAAGTCACCATCTGTTACATGATAATAAACACCATATATTGACTGTTACTGAAAACGTCTCTGTGAATCCATAGTACAGACACGTAAGGTAAGTTAAAGTGGTAGTAAAACGTATCAAAGAAAAAAAAAAAACCCCGCAAGGTAAAGGCATTATGTGCTAGTATGCATTGCATATGTGCTAGTATGCATTGCATACTAGACAATTATGAAGGACTTACCTTGAAACAAAGCCCTCCAAAGGAGCGCTGTCACCACTGCAGGGACTTTCATCTTCACCTGGTCTTCCTTTCGGGTTCACCAGCTCTGGCCGGCTGACTGACTGAGCCGCAATGATGTCACTCCCATGCATGGGCCATGGCACAGTGATCTGAAGGAACGGTACGGGTATGCCGTTCCTTCAGAGTGCATGCGCCGAATATGAAAACGGGCTAATATCTCTTAAACGGTTCACATTTAGGAGATAGTAATTTTACCTACAGGTAAGATTTATTATAAGCTTACCTGTATATAAAATTATTAAAGAAGAGTTTACTATCACCTTAAAGTATTTGCACAGTGAACAGGTTTTAGCTGAAGATAAAAATATTGTATATCAACAGAGTACATTAATTCATTATGAATACAAATATAAAGTAAGGTCTAATTATTTTTCCCAGTGATCTTTTTGCTACCTACAAATATTGATGAAGGAACCAAGAAACATTTCCAAGAGTTTTGGTGAACCTGGGAAGCATATCAGATAAACCCCCAAATAGTGTCAAACCCTATTGATGTGTATAGGAGCTGAATATTTTTTATTATTTTGTACTGTCCTTATCAAAGGAAAAGTTTCAAGCTTGTATGTAAAAATAGCATGGGTAACTAGGCACCGCCATGGGGCAGTACTATTGTAAAAAAAAAAACAAAAAAAACTATTCAGTAGGAAGAGGGTTTTTCAATGTAGCTTAACAGACAACACTGAAAAAATACACAAATCCTTTAAATAACATACATGAGGAATTCCTTAAACCTGCACACAAAGATACAGATGCAGTACAATGTACTCCTTTAAAAGTTACATTTTGTGCTACAAATGTCTGTCATGCAGAAGCGATATCCATGCGTCCCCTCCTCTCATGTTGATGGATCATTGCCCGTCAGTGCCACCTAACAGTTCCAGTCAGTGCCACCTAAAAGTGCCAGTCAGTGTCGCCTATCAGTGCCAGTGTCACCTATCAGTGCCAGTCAGTCCTGCCTATCAGTGCCGCCTATCAGTGCCATATATGAGTACTGCATTTCAGTGCCCATCAGTGATGTCTGTGAATGCCCAATAGTGATGCCTGTCAATGCCCATTAGTGCCACCTACCAGTGCCTCCTCATCAGTTCTCATCATTGCCTCCTATCAGTGCCCATCACTGCAGTTTCATTAGCGCACATCAGTGAAGGAGAAAAATTACTCACTTACAAAATGTTATAACAGAAACTAAGAAAAAAGCTTTTTTTTCAAACTTTTCAGTTGTTTTGTTTTTGTTTATCAAAAAATAAAAAACCCAGTGGTGATTAAATACCACCAAAAGAAAGCTCTATCTGTCTCAAAAATGACAACAATTTCATATGGGTACAGTGTATATGGGTAAGCTGAAAATTGACCTGGGCAAGAAGGGAGTAAAAGTGTCCTGTAGGCAAGTGGTTAATGGGACATCAAGCGTCTTTTAGGCCCAGTAGGTTTGTCAGGGGGTCATGTGGTGGAACACATTTCCAGGGTCAGCAAAAACCAAACAAACACTTTTATCAGAAAGCCAACTTATGAAATATACACACACTCCCCACTCCCACCAATGTAAAACTTATGTTGCTGGGCAATATGGTAAATACATCAATGGGCTAGTATCTGGTTTGGCCCCCTTTTGTCTTCAGAACTGTCTTAATTCTTCATGGCATAGATTCACAAAGGTGTTAGAAACATTCCTTAGAGACTTTGCTCCATATTGACATGATAGCATCATGCAGCTGCTACGGATTTGTAGGCTGCACATCCATGATGCGTATCTCTTGTTCCACCACATCCCAAAGGTTCTCTATTGATTTGGATTGAGATGCGGTGACTGTGGAGGCAATTGGAGTACAGTGAAATCATTGTCATGTTCAAGAAACCAGTTTGAAATGATTTGAGCTTCATAACATGGTGCATTATCCTGCTGGAAGTAGCCATCAGAAAATGGGTACACTGTAGTCATGAAGGGATGAACATGCTCAGCAACAATACTCAGGTAAACCATGGCATATAAACGATGCTCAATTGGTACTAAGGGGTCCAAAATATGTCAAGAAAATATCTCCCACACCAATATAATACCAACCCCAGCATGAACCGTTGATACAAGATAGGATGGATCCATGCTTTCATGTTGTTTAAGCCAAATTCTGACCCTACCATCTGAATATTGTAGCTGAAATAGAAACTCATCAGACCAGGCAACGTTTTTCTAATCTTCTATTGTCCAATTTTTATGAGCCTATGCAAATTGTAGCCCCATTATCTGTTCTTAGCTGACAGGAGTGGCACTCGATGTGGTCTTCTGCTGCTGTAGCCCAAATGCTTCAAGGTTCAATGTGTTGTGTGTTCAGAGATGGTATTCTGCATACCATGGATGTAACGAGTGGTTATTTGAGTTACAGTTGCCTTTCTATTATCTCAAACCAGTCTGCCCATTATCCTCTGACATCATCAAGGCATTTTCATCCACACAACTGTGGCTCACTAGATATTTTCTCTTTTTCAGACCATTCTCTATAAACCCTACAGATGGTTCCAGTAGATCAGCAGTTGTTGAAATACATGGACCAGCCCATCTGGCACCAACAACCATGCCATGTTCAAAGTTACTTACATCCCCTTTCTTCCCAATTCTGATGCTCAGTTTGAACTTCTGCAAGTTGTCTTCACCAAGTCTAGGTGCCTAAATGCATTGAGTTGCTGTCATGTGATTGGCTGATTAGCAATTTGTGTTACCAAGCAATTAAACAGGTGTACCTAATACAAATATTTTACTTTTTTGCATTGGTACATGTCCCCCAAGGTAGTGTCCTGTTTGCTATGTCCTCTCTTTGACAATCCTTTCCCTATACACCTAGAAAACTGCTTTGTTTATAAGCAGAAAGGGGGATTGACTAAAACTGTCTGGTACAGCATTGCACAGTAACCAATCAGTTTCTAACTTCAGCTTGTTCAATTTTTTTTACAATATAACCTATAAACTGAGTGGCTTATATGTACAGCTGCACCAGATTCTGTGTGCACCAGTTTTAGTAAATTTCCCCCAAGGTTTAATTTATTTAGGAAATCTTTTTTTCTTTCTAAATGTCATTTTTGCTTCAATACATCCTAAAATTCAGTTCAGCTAATCTTTCCTCATAGCTGTGCCTCTTATCACTTTGCCCTTCTCTGTACTTTCACCAATATCCTTTTTGGGAACTGGTGCACAAAAATGAACTACATATTCCAGATGAGGTCTGACTAATGATTTGTACAGAGGCAAAATTATGTCTCTATCTCTGGAGTTTATACCTCTTTTAATACAAGAAAGTATTTTGCTAGGTTTGGAAACCACAGCACGGAATGGCATGCTATTATTAAGTCTATGAGCCACCAAAACACCCAGATCCTCCTCCACAAATGATTCCCCCAGCTGTTCACCTCCTAGTGTGTATGATGCATGCATGTTTTAGTCCTCAAGTGCATAACTTTACATTTATCAACATTAAACCTCATTTGCCACATATTTAAACACAAAACTCCATGCTATAGACTAAATTAACCTTGAAAACGATTCACAACCTCCCTCTGTGACGATCGTGGCGTCAGACCCCAGCCCTTCCCACCAAACTCGTGACCGAAGGACTAGCCAATCTAAAACCGCGCTGTCACGTGTGTAACAATGCCAAGCGCAGCTGCACTCTGCACAAAGATTTTCTGGGTAATGGACCACAATCTGTGTATCTGCAGCCTGGGAGGGATTGTTACTGGGTCAGGTTAATTACGCAATTACCCCTTTACACTGCCACCACCTCCTTTTTGCACATAGAAAGAGGAAACTCGGCAATAACACTATGATGTTTGCATAAGCGCCGGTATACCACTGTCACCTCAGGCAGAGATATACCGAAGTTTAAAACACACAGTCACGCTCTTCAGAGGCAGGGGTTCTTAGTTTGCATTAAAGAGCTTTAGAAACAGTTCAACACTTTCAGAAAGTAAGATTTATTACTAAAAGGTCAAAAGGGTGCAATAAAAATATTTACAGGAAAAAAAGATGTGGCCAATATATATATATATAAAAATATGCAGAGAGCAATAGCACAGCAAAGAGATAACAGAAAGAAGTTTAGAGGGATAAAGTACTTGCCGTCTGCCTTGGTTTAAGCAGATCAGGTTTCAGAGCCAAAAGGATGCCTTATCTCCCAAAGTTAGTTCCAATGTTAAAAGGGAGAATCTTCAACTTTTTTCAACTCAGCTTACCTTAGCTTTTTCTAGGAACTCAGAAGGGTGTCTCCCTGAAGCAGAGACCCAATCGCCTCATTTGGGGGAGTGTTGCAGGCAGATTTTAATAGAATAGTTATTTGTGAGCCACCAGGAGTTAACTTACTCTATTATTAGTGTTAATTGTGTGCTTAAGTGAATATTTAATAAATATTGGATCGCCAGGCACTAATTACACCCTCTCTAGGTGTATGAAATTAAACTATGAATTCTTATACTGTACCGCGCTCCAATATTATCAACCTTTTGTGATTAACCTTTTTTGGTTGTGTGAATTTCTTAATATACCACCTATAATCCAATCATTACTTACTTCTATGGTGCTTAAATATACAATTAACATAAATTAATTTATAAATATGAATTAAAAAATTATATGTGATTATAACAAATATTAATAAAAAATTAATGAAAAATTGGAATGTCAATTCTATGTGAATAAAATAATAAAAAATTAATAAAACATTAAAAAAAAAAAAAAAAAAAAGGGAATGTCAATTATTTTCTTTAAATTTGAGATGGTGTTGTTATTCAATTTAGTTAATGTGATAAGTCTGTTTGGCAGCTTGAACCTCTCCCTCGTCTCCTCTCCTCTCTCCTCAGCTCAGCTTTCTCAATTGTGCTTTCTTCACTGGCTGCTTTGTTTATTCCTCCATATACGGAACATGCAGAGAAGGGAAAAGAAACATAGTGTCTTATCCGGGATATAAGTGATTTATTGCTCTTTGATCTCCCACTCACATTGTGTAAATGTAAATAACGCTTTGCATACAATGTATCAAGATCGTGCTTCAGACAGCCTGGCTGATGTGTTTGCTTGCAGTAAATATACTCGCCGTTCCTCTGTGGATGCGTGATAACGTCACCGCCCCTCCCCTACGCGTTACGCTACAGGGACTCGTAGCTTCCTCTGGGGGATGTTGCAGGCAGAGACCCAAGCTATGACCAAAAACCCTCACAGTTGATGTCATGGTTCATAACTTACCCTGGATACATAAAACATTCTATCCACGAGTAGATTAATATGCAGAATCTTCTGCTGAAACGTCTAAATATGAAATATGACATACCTGTTGTGACGGTTAAGGAGATATCATTTTCTGCCTTCCTGTATATGTCAGATAGGGGGTGTAATATATCAGACGACTTGTTTTAAAGTGACCGATCTGAATATATGCCTGGTTTTTAGGTAAATCTCTTGTAGTCCAAGATATGTAATCATAAGGGAAAAGTGGATTTTTTAAATGTAAGTCTGGTTTACGACTACCTGGAATGTCTTTGAAACTCAGTGAGGGCTTGGTTTGTGGCTTTATGATCCCTTAGACTCCCGGGGGCCAGTCTAATTGGGGTTTATAGCCCTGGAGCTCTCCCGTTTGAGCTTGCTGCCTGTGATCTCTGTCATCATCCAGACCACATGTCACTCAACAGAGAGGGAGGGGGGATATCGGAGGAATCTGATTTGGGAGAGCGAGATACAAGATGGAGGGGTTTGGAGCAAATGGATGACCGCGTCCATCTCTGTGTGCACGATTGCTATACCCTCCTTCAATTCAAAAATACACAAACATACAATTGTGTCAAACTTATGCTGAAAAATCACTGCTGCCACCTTATTAAATCAAAAATTATATATCAACATGTGAAAGAATAATGTGTTCAAATCACACTGGCACTGAAAATTAAGTAAAGTTTAAAAGTATTAGAATTTTGAAAATATTAAATCAATATAGTCCTCAAAAGTCCACAAAATAACTACACAGAAAAAAGTGCTTCAGTTCTTCCCACAAACATCTCTACCACACACCACAAGTGCTTGTGAGGTCCCTCTTGCTCCAAACAGGGGCGCTCACCAGAACCCTATGCCCAACAACAGCTTAGATATAACAGTGCTCAGCTTTTGGAGGACCCTTGGATATAAGCCATCTGGTCCAGGTTCTTTATTCATCTTTTTTTTGTCCAAATGTGTCTGGACCATGTCAATTTTGAGCCACTGTGGATCATTTGGGGCTAGATCAAAACCATCC